ATCAATGATTTCTAACAGGTATATTTATAGTTCGGCAGGTTCTTGCCTTTTTTGGGAGTGGGAAGATATTATTACATTTTGTGGATATTGTCCAAAAAGCTTCACAAAAAACGAATATTGCTTATATTGTTACCTAGGAAACAATACCTACAAAGGACTAATACCAACCTTCGTTTGTAATGAAAGGACGTCAATTTTTAACGAGTACAAAACTATTCTCTGTCCTGTGTCAGCATATAGTAATGTATAAAAGCTCCGATTTATATTGAAACTGGTGTACTGGCACTGGTAATTCGAACAGCCCTTCCGATTGGTTCGACATAAATTTTCTTTAAATGAACTTTTTTAACCAACCAAAGCCACACATTTCATTGAAAAAATTGGAAATATTGGAAAGGAGAGCAGATATTCACTTCTGCGGAATAAACTTCCAAAAACTGTAGAGACAAATTTAAAATCAACATTTAGAACAGCCGAACGGTACTCAATGAATGTTAATAAAGTCTTAGGAAAGATTCCTGCAGAATTGCCTGAAAAGTTGGAAAAAACTGAACGAGTTCTTGATTCATCATTGGTAGAGTTTTTTAAAGAAATGAGGGGAACATGCGGACCAAGAAAAAAGGGGAAAGATATTTAAAGCTGGAAAACAGATGATTATTGAAGACCCAACGATTCCCAGTGAGCAAATCTAAAATGAAGCAAAATCTCAATCCCAGGCAATCCCGGACAACAGCGACAAAGAATTTCCTTGTTCTCAGACAACAAATAACCAAAAAAGGTAACAGGCGGAGCCCAAAAAACTAAAACGCGTCTTCCTATTAGAATAACAAAAGCAAGTTTGAGAAGATTTAAATTCAAAATGTGCCGTATGTCGCACGCCGACTGGATTGAATGTGGTCAATGCAAGAAGTGGATTTACCGGCTTTGTAATTCAGAAAGCACTGATCCATTTTATGTGTCCAGCTTGCGATGACTCACATGACGAGTCGATAACGGCGATGAGAATAGAACCTTTAACCATGAAACTAAGATCGAAAAGGATCGAAAATTAAAAAAAAAAAAATTTAAGTTCTTTTTTTGTTTATGCTAAAAGTTAATTCAGTTTTTAAGTTAAGACATGTTAGGACAAGTTTTGCTGTTGCTGTTCTTGACATAGATATCTTTGTTTTATTTTTATAGGTATGTAAAACGCATGTTAGGCTGTTTTCTTGAGTTTTTTTGTTAATTTTTAAAACTGTAAGATAATTAAAACGTTTAATTTTTGTAATGACCAGTATAAAGTGCCTTAAATAAAAGTTTTTTTTAGAAAAAAACTCTTATTTTTCTTGACCAAAAAAAGGCAAACAAACAATTTGAAATTGTCTGCATCTATGCAACGCTTTAAAATGTGTGTTAAATCGAAATTAACATTTGTGTTAACGCCGGGTAACTTTGACATACCACAATTAAATCAGCACAAAAAACGTTCCGATTTCTAAAGTTTTTAATGATTTATGACAGCTGTTTCGCCAACACCGTGCCTTTATCAAATACAAAATATGACAATAGTCTTTCTCAGAGATAAACCATAAAACAAGACATGCTATAGGTAGTTTAATAGTTTGTTTAGATAAAAATGATTTTGAATCTAATGGTCTATTTCATATTGCCGAAGAAGGATTAACTATGGGAAGTCTACTGAATTCACTACTTGCAAAAATTTTCATGGACAATTTAGTTATAAACATCCTCCAAGTAAAGGATTTTTTTGATGGTATAGATATGTAGATGATGTTTTTGCTTGTTTTAATCGAACGGGAAGAAAACGCGAGGCCTTTTTGAAACATATTAACTTCATACATAACCGTATAAAATTTACATTAGAGACGGAACTAGATAACTCGGGACTAAACTATAACTGAACTAAAGAACAAGTTAGATTTTTCCATTTAGCATAAACCCTCACACGGACACAGTAATACACAATAACTGAAATCACGATTACATACACAAAGTGGCTGCCTTTTATGCTTTTATCAACAGACTATTTAATATATCACTTACCCAAGAAAATTTTGAAAAACAATTAAATATAAAACAAACAGATTTTAACAATGGTTACGACTCAACTTTCATTGATAAGATTATAACTAAAAAGCAGTTTTAAATAATTATGAACCCTATCTATCTCATATTAAGCACCAAACCTAAAATTTATAACACAATAAAATACATAAGAGAATCTAGCGAGAAAATATCGAAACCTCTATCTAAATTTGGTCTTAATATGGCTTTGAAAACACCATAGGACATTTTTTTAAAAACATTAAAAATAAATTACAAGAAGCTCAAAACCGCAGTCTGAAATGTAGATGATGCTCCAAAATTTATATCGGACAAACAGGTACAGTCTGTTCATAGATATAAGAATAACTGATACGAATTAAGGAAAGACCCGGGCAAGCTGTAAGAATGAAATATGGCCGAACAGGTCCGTACTTTGTTTAGAATTTAATTACTTGGAGTTTTGTTAGGAAAGATACTAATCAATATTTTTTTATTTATGTATGTATTTATGTTTAGATCTAAAATAAAATTACAAATTATTTTATTACCGACTTAAATTATTTAAAATTATTCACATAATATAGCAGTATCACTATCGCTATCATCGCCTGTACTAATTATTATTTGTTCTATATTATTTGCAATATGGATATACGATTGTTCTGCTTTTTCTATATGTTTAACAGAATTTGCCCAACTTTGAGGAGGGATGTTAAAAACTTCGGTTTCTATAAGTTTGAGGACATTGGAGTTAACAGGGGGAAAAACATTGTTACGACGAATTGCAGATTTCAGTTGGTGCCAAACATGTTCAATGGGATTAAATATACACTGGTAAGGTGGAAGCCTTACAAGTGTAAGCCCTCGATTTTTTGCATAATTATTACAGACGTATTTCTTTTGTAGGTTCAAGCTTTGTAGAACCTCAATTAATTGCTTTTTGGAATAATCTTCGTGAAAATAAATGTCGTTATTATACATGTAGTTTTGGATTGTTGCTTTTGCGTCACATGAGGAAGAGGTTTTAGTCAACTGTCTACTGTGATAACAACTTGCATTGTCCATTACAATGACGCTATTACGAGGAATGTTTGGAACTAGTTTGTTTTTAAACCAACTTTCAAATAAATCGGCAGTGGTGTCTTCATGGTAATCCGGAGAAGAATCTTTAATATTTTTCGCAGACAGAGAAAGTCCATTGGGGATCCAACCATCTTTAGAGCCAGCATACAAAATAGTTATTCTTTTACCTCTTTTTGATGGCGCTTCCGTTTTACATTTATCAGTTGAATCAACCCAATAAGTAAAAGTTCGGTTTCTAACTAGGTCATTCAAATTTGTTGGAAACTGGAGAATAAGGAAATGAGATATTCTAATCCGTTACTTAATGACCTATTGGAAATTAAATGCGTTTATCAAAATAAATAAGAACTAAAATTTCAGATTTTCACGAAATTATATATTATGACATGACAATTGTTTCGACAACACCGTGTCTTTATCAAATGTATTATTTACAAACTACCTGCTACTATATATACCGAAAAATGACCATAAAACCTTAATTAATGTTGTTGCGAGAATTTAAGTTCAATAAAGGAGAGGTATTTAAATCTAATTAGTCGTTAAGCAATACATTTGAATGTCTCCTAGCGAAAAAGTTTCAAAACATTTGTCAAAATGTGGTTTAAAAATAGCTTTCAGAACTAACAACACAATAGGAAAATATTTAAAAAACAATAAATCGAAATGTCCAAAATCCCAAAAATCAGGAGTCTGCAGGTTGAAATGTGGATCTTGTACTAAAATTTATATTGGACAAACAGGTAGATCCTTCAAGAAACGCATTAACGAACATATAAGAGCGTTTAAAAACAATAGTCTAGATTCTAATTATGCTACACACTTAAACACAGAAAAACACATTTTTGACGACAATTTTGATATATTACACACAGCCACAAAAACTAGAAAATTAAATTTATTGGAAGCCATGGAGATTAACAAAATGAGACATTCAAATGTATTGCTTAACGATCAATTAGATTTAAATATCTCTGCTTTATTGAACTTGAATTCTCGCAACAACATTAATTAAGATTTTATGGTCATTTTTCGGTATATATACTAGCAGGTAGTTTGTAAATATTACATTTGATAAAGACACGGTGTTGTCGAAACAATTGTCATGTCATAATATATAATTTCGTGAAAATCTGAACTTTTAGTTCTAATTTATTTTGATAAATGGATTTTCATCAAGTAAAAGCCACCTCAGTTCAATTTTTAAATGCGTTTCCGTTGTTAAATTTAAATTTAGAACCCTATACCTAAACAATACTTTCTATTTGATAAAGGCACGGTGTTGCCGAAACAGATGTCACAAATCATTAAAAACTGTGAAAATCTGAACATTTGTTCTAATTTAATTGCGTTAAATGGATTTTTATCAAGTAAAAGCCATCTTAGTCCAATTTTTGACATACCAAATTTTCGATTTTATTTTTTTTCTTATCGTATTTTATTTATTTCACAACGCGGTGATAATGAATGAGACGTTATATTGAAAAATGTCCTAAAATCGTTTGACGGTATTATTTGGATTATGAACACCCGAAATATTAAATTTGGGAATGTAGAATAATGCTTTCACTCGATTTTACGTAAATGTGTTCCAACATTATTTAATAAGATTGTCGGCCCCAGGCCGAGGCCCGTCCGGAACAAAGCACGGTGAAGGCACCGACTCGTTTAATAATGCACGCGGACCTTACGTATCGCGGGCACGCATCAGAAGACGCCAGCAACGTCTCGCAATTAGCTAGAAACCGCGTCGATTATCTCGTAACCCGCTACGGCGGAATTCCTCCGGTAATTACCGGCGACACGCGATCGACGCCGCTACGCTGAAGATGGCAAAACATTTGAAACCCGAAACCTCGACCCGAACTCACCGCTAGGAACATTAGATTGTTGAGATCGTCTGCCTCTTCGGTGAGGTGTGAGTTGCAGCCCGGGCGCCGAGACTGCCCTCTTTGGCACCGTCGTCGTCGCGAGTAACCTAGAGAAGCCGGGCGGTCTGTACCGGGCGCTCTTCGCGTACTGACTCTGAGCTTTCGGCACCGCGCTCGTCGGTAACCTGGGTAGCGAGTTCGTTGTCTGCGGACCGCTCTGCAAACTCCTCGGCAACGTCGCTCTATTATCCATCTCATCCTCCTCGTCTTCTCCGTCGGCGGAGCCTCCGGATCCGCAGGAGGCGGCATCGGGGACGCTACTTCTCCGTCGGTTCGGCCTAGTGGCCCAAAGCTTATCCTCGCTACTGGCTCCGCCTATACTCCCGCAGCTCCTCACTCTGTCCAGTTGCTCGCGGCTCAAACTCTTGTGGCTGAAGAGTAAATCGCCCGCCGAGCGCCTTTTGGCCGCTATGGCCAAAGCGGAAGCGGACGCGGAACCTTCGCCGCCGATCAGTGACAGTTTGTTCCGCGAATCCGTCGCGAGTAACGCGGATTCGAAGCTACCCCTCCAGGAAAACCTCTCGCAGTCGCTCGCCTCGCGTTCCTCCACGATATCGGAAGAGCCGCCGGTCGACTGATGCATGTTCTTGGCCGCGTCGCTCATCAGAAGATCGTGCGATCTACTCCTGGGCAGCAAGCCGTACGGCTCCTCGAGGAATGTGTCCGGCAGATTGCTGTCCGACGTGCTGTCGTCGTCGGTGGTGGTGGAAGACGCGTTGGACAGCTTCTGCTGCAACCGGCGGTGGTAGTTTTTGGACTTGGGGCTGTTGCTGGCGTGACTCTCCCCGCTGGACACTTCGTGCATCAGCGCCACCAGCCGGCTGCCGATGTGGTGCATCACCTTCGCGATAAGCGGCGGTGAATTCGGCCCGGACGCCATGACCGGTTTGTCGCCGGCGGCCATTTTTTCGAAACTCGCCACCAGTTTCTGGTAAACGAACGCCGTCTCCTTGTTCAGGCCGTGGGAGTCGTCCTGGATGCCCCCGTCGCCCGCGTCACCCTCCTCGTCCTCCGCGTTAGCCGCGTCGAACTTGTTGATGATCTGCTTGCAGCTGTCCGAAATTTGTTGCTGTAGCGCCGATTTCGTGGACGCGCCCTCCAAGTCGCTGCTGGTGTAGTCCGATGAGTCATACGAGTCGCTCCACGTGTCCTCGCTGCTCAGGTACTCGACAATTTCGCGCACCTGATCGTCCCGGATACCGGGTACCGTTTTCATCAACCTGGTGAGCTCGTTCTCGAAGTACACCAGCTGCGGAGGCTTGCACCTGGTTTTGGCACGGGGCTTGGGCGACGTCCCGCTGCTTAGGTTCGGTGTGGCGGGCTTCGAACACGACCCGTTCGCCACCATGGTCTTGAAAAACTGCCGCATCTTGCACATCATGAGGTTCGTCTCCTCGTCGGAGCTCCAATTGTTGAAGCTGTCGCGGCGCGTCAGCAGAGTATTGGGCGGGATCGATTGACCGGCCGTCCGGTCTTCCCTTTTCTCGGTCGCGATTTTGTCAGAGTTAGGGACCGTGTCGGCCGCCTGCGCGTCTTTCTGATCCCTGAGGAGGTCGTCGCAGCTGCCGACGAAGCCGGAATCGCGACTCTGCTGGTTGCGGCTCGTCGTTAAATTGGTGGGCAGCGGCAGAATCTCCGGCTGTGGCGTCTTGTGCCCGTCCTCGTCCTCGTCCGACTCTCTTATATCGTTCATCTCTTGCTCTTTGCTCTCGTCGGGCACCTTTTGCTTCTTGCCCTTTTTCCGTTTGACCGTGTCGAACTGGCCGTCGGACTTTTCGAAGCTGATTATCTCATCGTACGTGTCGGTGTCGGAACTGGACGAATCTTCCGAGTTATTCTGGACCTCAGGCTGTTGCTCGTTGGTGGCCAAATCCGGATTGGCCAGCAGGTTGTCGAGAGAGGACGAATGCGACCTGCCCGTGCCTCTGGCTCTCACGAGTCGCTTTCGTCTCTGTTCCGGGCTGGGCTTGCCTTCGCTGTCGCTGCCCACCGATCCGTCCGAGTCTCTACGTCCGGCCGTGAATCCCATGAAGCCGCTCAGGAAGTACTTTTCCAACCTGGAGGAGGCCAACTCTTCGGCTGAGTTCTCGTTGGGCGTGGTTGGTTCCTCCGGACCGCCCGTCGATTCCATGCCCTCGCTGTAGATGCTCGACGTTTCAGAGAAGGCATCTTCGCGGTTCGAATTGATCGACGGTATCGTTCCGTCGCCCAAGCCGAAGAAAAAGTATTTTTCCAAATCGGTGGCGGAGGCGGGTCGTTCCTTCTTCTTGGGCGCGCTCTGCTCCACTTCGCTCTCTTCGCAGCTCTCCTCGACGATGGTGTGGAGGGTGAAGTCGATGGCGGTGCGGTGGTAGCCGCGGAGCTCGTCTTCTTGGTCGACGACCGCAGAACAGGTAAGGGTCACCTCATCGCTCGACGAGGAGTTTTCGCTGGCGGAATTCGTAGCGAAATCGTCGTCCTCCTCGTCGTCATTGCTTAGGTTTTCTACCCAGGAGTCGTCGTCGGCGAGGCCTTCCTCGAAAGCCGAGAGGGTCTCCACCCCGGTTATCACAGTTACGCCTTGTTGGTGGATGTGGTTCGTTGGGCTATCTGGAAAGACGATAGGAATGTTAACTGAGCATGTAAAGTATGGATCGATAATAATATTTTCAATTTTTTAATTTTTTTTCAATGAAATCAAATTAACTCTACCAAAACCATTGATGTTGTATTATGACAACATACCAAAAATGGATGAAACGTATCATGCACCGAGTATCCCATTTTGGGTACTTCTATGGGCTCACTCGATTGCTACATTTTTGTGAAATTAAAGATGCCGCCAACAAAATTATCACGGCCCTGTTGGTTTTTAAGATACGGCGTGATATTCAAATGTATCGAAAATTCAGTTATTTAAATGTGTTTTATATGTAATAATTTTCAACCTATTATGGTCCATTATGACATTAATTAATACGAAATAACATTATATCTAAAGAATATTAACATAAAATTACACCTAAAACTTTTGGTCAAATTGAAGATCATTTTCTCGAATGCAAAACTCGCACACTTTTCTTAATGATATTTAAAAGAATTCTTGGTCTCCTTCTTTGGGCAGTCGATTTTGGTACCTCTACTACGCGTTCTATGTGCTTGCAAGATGATAACAGCGTGGCTTTTATGTAACCTAATACATTTGTTACTCTTTGCTCCCTATTCTCCTATAAATAATGTTTAGGACGTGGTTGAATAAAGGATTTATTATCTGGAAACGGTTGTCGTCTCTCTAGATATCTAATATAAACAAAACACAGAAAACATACCAATATATATTTTTCAGAATTCTCGTACATTGCTATTATTATAGAAAATTAATAAAAATATTTCTGAAAAATAAATCACAGCACAATTTCGGACATAAATTTCTCGTAAGGGACATTTTGAATCGAAACATCAGATAAATAGGGTGACGGCCAAATGGCCAATCTTTAAACTGGAGGTATTAGACGCCAAGTTTTTGGTGGTTTCGTGTTGCTGCCCGTACAAGACAAAGATAGAATTAGAACGCGTTTCTATGAAAAATTGGAAATTCTTTCATATTTCCATCAAGTTTCAACCAGAATCCGACAGATAAACAGAATATGATTCCACTGATCTCAATAATATAAGAACTAGGACCCTCTAGCAGCAACGTTCAAATAAGTTTCAAATTCGTAATTTCCATGTCAAAAAACCTAAAAATGCCAATTTTTATTATTATACGGGGCATTCAGACCGGATCCAACGACATTTGTATAACTGATTTTGTACGAATTATACTATTTGGGCGTTCATTATCTCCAGTTTAGGGGTTGCCCATTTTTTTATGAATTGTTCTATATATCTGATATTACGATGTCCCTTATGAGAGACCGATTTATGTCAGAAACTATGACTTTTTCAGAAATTCTGATTCAATCTAGAGATTCTGGATTATTTTTACACACCCTTTCGTAGATATTGAAAACGTTTTTATGCAAATCGTCGGAATATCTCTTTTACTCTTACTTTTTGTGAAAATCATGGCCGCTTTTCAAAATACCTACCTTCTGTCTAGTGTCTAGTTTTATTCCACCGAGGATTATACAGAAGGCTAATTCACAGCGAGACCTTCACGACTATAAATTTTATTAAATGAATTTTATTTGTTTCCGAAATCGTGGTAACATTGTTGCAGTTTTCACCGCGGTTTTGTTATTACTCTGCTTTTGGAGGATTCGGTTAACAATAAATTATTAATTTATTTAACGACTGTAGATATTAATTACGCATAATTACCGATTGCGGAACAGATACGTGTTTGAGAAACCTTGCACCATTTATCATTAGAAAGTGACATGGGAAAAAAATTAAAAGCAATAATTTGTTTATGCTTCCTATGTTGTTGGTTCGAAATTGACTTCCACGGTTTGTTCGGAAATGATAAGGATATTCAAATGAGTGTCTGAAACCAATTAGCGTATCGCGAAAAACTATACTGAGAAAGTAACTAATTTATTTTAGTATGGGCATTGAATGCAGGTGGTTTAGTTACCTGATAAATGTAAAAAAAAAGAATAATAAAAACAAAAAATTACAGCGCCCTATCCGAACTCCATGCTATTTGTATTTTTTTTAATGTGTAACCAACTTCAGTATCGGCGGTCGGTGTTTGTTAAAATAACAAAACGCATCAAAAATTTTAGTATTGACCACATGCTAAATTATGCTTATGTCGAATGTTTTTTTTTGCGATTCGGAAAACTATTCCAAACTGAAAAATAACATAAAACTTATTGGCGGATATTTTTTTCAAATTATTCAATTCAAACACGTTTATTTTGAAAACAATTTCCGGAAGTATGTATTTTTTGACTTAGGAAAGTTTTGGCAACTTACTTTTTGAACGCGTTGTATACCTGTCTATTATAAGTACTTTTTATACGATTCTAGTTGCTTACTATTTGCTGTAGCTACTAAATTATGTCCATATCCCAATAGAAACGTTGACTTGCTGAAATAGGATCATTCAAACCTGATAATATGAATTAAGGTAGGCCCAGGTATAAAAGACACACTGCAAGAAAATGAAGAACCGGTTTTTAGATTGTTTTAAATAAGAAATTGATAACGTGTTCATAAATAAAGGTTTAATGGACTATTATAGTATACCTAGTTGTCCATAATTTAGTAATATAAATTTAATACCGACCTTGTCAAAATAATTAAAAATGGAAGAGTTATGAAAACTTCTTAGAACATATTTTGATGTAGCAAAAAATAACGACAGCAAATGCGCGGAATACATAGTTATGTTGTCCTTTAATTACCATTTACTAACCGATTAGTTATAAATTAGTTATAAAAAATTGTTTCAAGTTCTAACAGCAAAAAAGTACAAATTAAAAGTTGTTTAGTGCGGAGCGTCATATAGCACAAAAAGTGTTTAAACTTAATACAAAAAATCTGTGTGGTAAACTTGCAGAGAGCGTTTTGCGTCCAACTATTGTGTATTAAAAATTTAATGGCAGTTATAGTTACAATTACACCTGCGGAAGTATAAAAAACGGTAATAGAATTTTTTTTTGCGGACAGCTGGAAAAAGTCGACACATGTTGTAATTAACTTAAAAAATTGTTATATGTGTATAAGTACTAATTGGAAATGAATTGATGCAATTGTTTTTGTGTACTGGGTGTCCGAATATTTTATATATTTCTCCAGCCACTTAAGTCAGGATATTACGAACGAAAGAAAAAAGAGCGTTAAATAGTTTCATCCAGAATTTTTAATTTTTTTCATATATAGGTGTCCTATTCATCCACGGTAAAAACCAGCTTTCTTATTTTAAATAGAACACCCTATATATTATTGCACTTTTTCCTTGAATTTTAAGTCAAAAATAACGTTTGCTAGCCTCTAATTTTTTTTTCTCTAAAGGAGAAGTAAGTATTTAATTTTTGATTAGACGCGTTATAGAAGAGAGCCTGTTAATAAATTCAATGCATATTTTGGATGTAAATTAATACAGAGCAACCAAAAATTAAAAACAAAAATTAAATTATAAAAAACTGAAGAAGTCAATTTTTTTAAAGAAAAAGTCGAGTTCATGTTGTCACACAATTTAACGGTTTACTATTAGAATAATGGTATAATACTGCTGTTTAGTTTGGTATTACTGTAAATTTTGGAATTTAATTTATTTATTTTTAAATTTGTAACGTAAATGTGATAGTTACATATGGTATGTATTAATAATAATAGGATACTTCGAATCTTGTCCCTCCTTTTAGAAAAACTATCAAACAATCAGTCAAATCGCGTTCAATTCTGCCAAAAATTGTTTTATCTTTGTGAATATTTTCTGTAATTTTTCTATAAAACAATTATATAGATCCAATCTATCATTTTACCAACACATTCAGCTTTTAAATATAAGATTAATTAAATGAAATAATTTATACTCTTGTCAAACTAATAGATGGTATTTTGTAAACGGACGTTTTTGTACGTCCCGATTGTCTACTTTTCTGATAACAACTAATAACAGAACTTAACAGCTGTATTATAGAACTATTACAATAGGAATATGTGAAATGATGAATTATTTTGGAAACTACAAATATCCTGAATAGACAACCGTATATAAACTTTAAATTGAAAAAAACAGATTAATTAAATCAAATTATTAATACTCGTGACAAACTAATAGATGGTGTTTTGTAAAGTGACGTTTCTGTGCTGACTGATTGTCTACTTTTCTAGTAACAACTAATTACAGAACTTAACACCTTCATTACAATTATTACAACAGGCATTTTATCAGATTAATTAAATCGAATTATTAATACTCGTGAAAAACTAATAGTGTTCTGGTTAGTTTCTGTTTAGTGACGTTTTTGTGCTGCCCGACTGTCTACTTTTCAAAAACAAGTAATAACAAAACTTAACAGCCATATTATAACATTGTTACAAAGAGTAAAAATTGTCAATAAATAAATTAAATTAAATTAAATTAAAAATAAATTGTCAATTATTTTGTATACTATAAATATCCAGAATAGACAAACTTATACAAAATCCACTACATTTTTAATGCCAAACCCGATAAAATTATAAAAATAGGGGGATTCCATTTAAAAAAATAATAAATTTTGCTCACTCTGTATTAATTTAGACCCAACATAACCACTCACTATAGGATAATCTTTCACAAGGAATCCACTCAGAATTGAATAATTAAGGCTCTCTTATTTTAGGGCCTGCAAACTTCAAACTGCAAAGTTTTTGACTTAAAATTTAAGACTTGTCGTAATCGGTTACACTTAGCTATAGTACACAACACCCGGAATATATTAAAAATTAAATAATATAGGGGAAACTATCCAAGTTTTCTGTTTATCGTTCGTAATTTATCAGTTAACGGGGTAGGGAACCTTATTTCTAACACCATGTACAGTTTTATTTTTTTATATTTCCGTACCCACTTACAGGTGTTAACAGAAGTCGCCTTTTAAAACAAAAGTTGCATAATTTTTGTAGTGCATTATTTTTTAGACTTATGACGAAAGATCTTTTTCTCCTGA